CTGGATTCCTCCGAAGGCGGGAAGGCATTCGCAACAACCTCCAGCCGGCGCCCGTCAGAAACGGGCACCCCGAGGTTCAAGTCGCGAAGGGCGACGTTGGTCGCAACCCGGGCTCCCGCCTCATAGAAGATCCGTGCCGCAGCGCGCTCGAACGGGCAAGCGCGCCGGACCAGGACCCCCGCGGTGGCGCAAGCAGCGCGGTGGTCAGCAAGCCCGTCAAGTTCCCCGCCACAACGGCACAGCCGCGACGACAGCGGCAGTGGGAGTCGCAATCGCCGCAGCAGGACGCAGCGGGCTACGTCGTCCGGCATAGTAAACTCTTCGCGCGTTGTCAAGGTGGTGAGAACAACACTGCCGCCCGACCCCGCTTGAGACAGCAGCAATGCCCGAGACGCCGATTCGAGGTCGGAAAATAGCGTCTCGAGGGCACGCTGGTCAAAGCAGGAGCACGCGGCTTGCTGCCATCCACGCGAAACGTCCCCGAAGTGGGACACGTCACTTGCCTGCGCTGCGTCAACCAGGGCTGCCCACGGTGGAGCCGTGAAGCCGGCAGCGCGCAAAGTAGCCTCCGCGCGCGCGGCTGCCCGCGTACATGGCGGGCCCAGAGCACCATGTGGATCAGCCAAGCCGGGCAGCAACCGCGCCAACATGCGCGGGTGGCGCGCGCCTATCACCAGCATAGAGTCGGCCCAAGATGCCCAGTGAGCCGCGACACGGGACGCGGCTGCGGAGCCGAGGCCCAGCCCGCCGAATCGCAGTGGGAGCTGCGCTCGCCGGAGCGCGGGCTCAGGCAGCACTAGCGGCTCGCCCTGCCGCCCCAGCAATTGCCCCAGGCACCTGGCAACTGCTCGGTCGTGTGCCTCCGCGAACCCTCCGGTGTCGCCTGGGGGCAGCACGCGGAGCAAGTAGTTGCAGCGCGGTTGGGCGCACAGCAGTAGGAACAACCACGCGCTTTGCACGTGGGGGGGCACACACGGGATGCGGTCCAGCGGGACCGCATGCTTTTCACGGACGCTCTCCAACGACCGGGCCACGTACGCTGCGTGCCCGAGCGGCGTGCCCAGAACGGTAATGCCCTGCGTCTCCGGCGCCCGCGTCCAGCTGCCTACCGAGGCGTCCGCGCGGGCGGCGGCGGGGAGACGGTCCAACAACGTGCTGGGCTCTTCGCCTGCTGCATTCCATGCCCGCGTCTTACCCAAGTGCACGCGGACATTCGCGCGTTGCCATAGCGCCTCTCCAAGAGCCTCGAAGATAGGGCCGGCTCGCTCAGGCCCACTCATGACGTAAACGTCATCGAGGTAGGCATACAGGTCTGTAGCTCAGCTGCAGCAACCGCAAAGGAATAAGGAACAATCCACGGACATGCTGGGTGGGTAAATGGAGGTGTACATTTGCGGGAACAAATTGCGAAGTCCACATAGTTCAACACAGCCGTAAGCAGTCGATCCAAAACAAGACACGCTACGTTGCTTCCACGGGCGAGGTTTTCGCAGGATTTCCTGCGTGGGAAGCCAGGTCATCGTGGCCGACCTTCTTTGACCTGAAAGATGTGGAGCAGATCTGTAGGGTGCCATTGACTTCTGCCATGTGCGGGCATGATGCGCGTACAGGTGCCGTTTTCTTCGGGAAACTTGGTCCACCAAGCTGTGGCGCAGGGCTCGTGGAGGGCGACTCGGACACAAAGCGGAACGACTCTGCCGAGTTCCGCGAACCCCGCGGTGCCGGAGCTCACTGCTGCGCTGTTCCACCTCCACACGCTGGGTATTGAAGCGCGGCAGGAGCCTAAAAGAAACCACGTGAGCCGGCGACCTCAACTCCTACAATGCGACTCCAGCGGACCGGAGTTGGGGGAAGGTCCGCGCTTCTTGATGCCTGAAATTGCGGCGAGAGAGTGGTGCAGCATCACACGTGAAGGGGTCAACGGCAAGCCGGGCACCGTTCCACAAGGGCATGCCGCCGTTGGCAATCACCTCCATTCGCCTGGGGCAAACGAGGGCGTTCAAGTCGCGCACAAGCGTTTTGGCTGTGACTCGGGTTCGCGGCAAATCCGGGCAGAAATCCACGATTGCGCAATGTGCCACAGAAGGCGAGCTGAGGGCGGCAAAGCATCGCGCACCGCGACAAAAGCAAGGGGAACCGCGCGGGAAAGTAAGCAAACTCTGAGCAGCCTGTCAACGGGGCATCGCTATCTTGAGGGCGCCGTTGGGCAACCCGCAGTTTGCGGCTCAGTTGCATTTGCTTCGCGTCAAACAGGACGCCTTGTCGCAAACAATCCGTGTGCGCTTGGTTGCTCCTTTTGTTTTGTGCCCGAGAGCTGGCAGAGAGCCGGGCCTCGTGCCTCATAAGGAAATCTGATCTGGGCGCAAGGCGAGAGACGAGCAACCTCGACCCCACAGCGTGCGGCCAGCAGGTTGCCTCGCAGGACTGCATGGACCTAGCGATTTGTCGCCACGGAATGTGGCGAGGCCGCGCGTTGCGACGCCACGCTCGTCAGCCCGCGCTCGACACGCGTGGTAGGCCTCACGGAGTCGCGATGCCCACGGCTATCTGGCACAAGTGGCTGGGCTGCAGCACCTCCTTGTGCTGGCGGTCGCAGTTGGCGGGCGGTGGCATGCCAGTGTGCCTGCTCGACGCGTGTGCCTGCACGCCTCCCGCGCTGCCGACTTGCCTGCGCTGATCTTCGGACACTACTATTCATGTAGAGCCTGGGGCTGGCTGTCATGGTCCCGATGACGGACCATGTTCCCATCAAAGTCCATCACTTGTTTCCATATTGGTTTCCCTGTTTCTGCGTGTTGACGCGGATCCATGGCCAGTGAATTGTCCAGACGGCTTCCGGAGCCACAAGGCTGAGGCCCGAGTCCAAACAAAAGAAAAAAAAGGAGCAGCCGGAACCAACACTACAAACCAACTACATCCCCAAAAAACAAAGAAAAACGAGGGGAGCAGCCAGCCAAGCTCGCACCGTGGTGCAGCGCGAGGGCCAAGCAGTTTGACAGCCGAGGTGTTGGATGCTTCATCTGCTTTGACGCGACTAGCCGCGCCTGGCCGGAGCTGCCGTCCCTTCTCATGGTACATCCTGGCCCGCGTCTGGCGGAGCCTGTGACCACCTAAAAAACAGAGCGTGCTGGTGCCGAGGTGTTCAGGCCATCTTGCACGCTTTGAGCCACGTGGCACGGGGGCCAATGCCATGCTTCATGCCTCTCGGTCCCGCTTCGATGCCACGTGGCGCCCGCTGCAAATGAGAGCCTGGCGCTGCTGCGCAACCCGGGGTTAACCGCGGCTCAGTTGCAGCTCCGTGTCAAAGACCCATCCACGCCATCCGCGCCATCCGTGTCTCCCTTGAGCGGGCTTGGCTCCAGCGGCACACCTGCGCCGCGCGGCGCGGCTTGCCGCTCCGAAGGGCTGACGCCGTCGCCCCTCGAGCGGATCGCGCGGCGCACCCAGGCGACTCCCCGCGCGCGCGCAGGGAAGACGGGCTTTCACGATAACACATCGCCCTGCCTGACACGTGAAATGTGATGTTGTGTCTGCCTCATGTCTGTCCGCTGCATCTTTTGTGACCGCATCAGCTCGCGCGAATGCCTGCAGAATTTTGGTTTCGCTGCCCCGCTGTGAGCGGCGAAGGATGAACTCCAAACCGTATGTTGCTTTCTGAACTCGACGCCGTAGAACGCAGGCAAGCCTGGCGGCCCACCGCCTTTGCTCCATTCTTGTGGTCTGAGCAACTTGCCTACATGAACTACAAATATCCGAGATACGCAACCAGCCGCCAAGCACACAACCCACTTCCCACAAAACGACTCCGCCAAAAGATTGCAAAGCTGCGCTAGCTCGCCTTCGAAGCGCAAGCCTGCGCCGCTGACGCCGGCTAGCCGCTGGCGGACGTCATTCGCCGGGTGCCGGCGACCTGGCCACGCTCTGTCTGCGATTTTCTCACCGCCACAGTTTCGAGCAATTTGAAGACAGAGAGCATGTCTGATGGTGTCCGTAGAAATTGGCTGACACGTTGCAGGTGCGCAGCCACCTGGGGGCTGGCGAGCTCGCGGTCTGAAAACCGCGGTGTCAATGATGAGACACTGAGCCAGGATGTCCGACGCGGGCATTAGACACAACGGGACATCCATCTCCGCCAACATGGCAACACGAGCGCGCAGCGTTCAGGACTCAAGACGTCCAAAGCGTCGGAGCGCGCGCTCGCGGTGGCAGCCGCGCGCAAACGACAGGCGCAATACCTGCAGGAGGCGGAGCAAGACTCCCGCAGCCGTGGCAAAGCAGGCAAGGCACACCCCGCTTGTGGCGCCCTTCGCGACAGAAGGCGCTGGCGAACAGTGATGTTCGGAGACATGAAGCTGCGCCAACTCGTTTGCTTTGGTGCTCAAGACGCCGGGCAAAGGCTGTGGTGGGAGCTAACTAATTGGAGTCGTCGCACATGAAGCCCTTTGGAGTGGAGGATGAAACGAGCAAGCCAGAAGGCTGAACTTGTGAATGTTGGCTGAGAGTGGTGCAAATGCGGAATGCCAAAGATGCTAGGAATGCTGGTGATGTTCAGGATGTTCATGAAGCGGATGCGCAGGGCTGCTGCGGATATTGGGGCTTGGTATGCAGGTGCAGGAAGGGCAGCTGAGAAAATCCTTTAGGCCCGTGCCGCTGGACATGCATTTGATATGGTCATCCAGGGCTAGAGCTGGAGATTCTGGAAGCTGATGCTGACGATGCTGATACTGGGCGATGTGAGGATTTCTGAGTGCCGAGATGTTGCATTCTAGGCCTGCTCTTTTTTCTGTTGGCAGTCTACTTGCTGAAACATCGGTGGACGGCTGTGCAGAAAAAGAGAAAAAAAACGGCCATCAGCAACAAACTCACTTTACCCAGTTTATCAACCGTGCATCGGGCAATCTCAGCTTGAGAAGTGGCCAATTGCGCGGGGGGATACGGGGATCTCGCTCGCTCGCCTCCGACGATCCAACTCGCAGCGACAACACCCGCCCGTTTTTGTTCACGCAGCGGCTAGACCTGCGCTCAGGTGCCCATCACTCTGCGCACGCCATCCTGGACAACATGTGTTCAGAATTTGCCATGTGGCTGTGGCTCAAAAATAGGTACCCCAAAGAAAGCATGGACCAAAACCTGCGGTCCATTTCCTGGTGATTCTATTTTGGCCCATACCCATGTGATGGTGGCTTGCTTGGTGCGGTGCAAGGTCGCCCCATGTGCTGCTGAGCTGCCGCAGCAGCCAGGGCTCTGCCTGCGAGGTCTCTGGACCGAGCCGGCGCTGCGTGCCCTCAGCCCCGCCCTCAGGTTCGGGCGAAGGCTGCGTAGAGGCCTGCGAGCAACCACAGAAGCAGCACGAAGAAGACCTCGGAGTGCAACTCTGGCCAACGGTTTGCCTCTTGGATCTATGACTTCAACTTGGAATACGCCTCGCTCAACCGACGGGCTTTTATGGAGCCGCAAAGATGTCCCACTCAAAACGCCCTTCAATCACATGTGGAGGAACCATTACGGGTATGGGAAACCTCACCAGTGATTCCATCGAAACCCAGCAAAAAAAGCTTGGCTTCCAGGAAGCATCCATCAACGGGGGTAATGTATTGGGTTGAAACCAAGAAAATCACCAACAAAAACCGTTTTGGAGCCGTGGTCCTGAAACCTTCGTTTCAGACTTTCGACATGTGCGTCCACGAGACTCAGCTTCAGATTCGCTAACAATCTCAATAAAAACTGAAAGAAGGGCGTGGTTTTCATGGCGCAAGGGCGCTTTGCTATCTTGGACGGGTCAAAATTACACCACCAGGGGACGAGGCAGGTTTGAGTCCTTTCCACTTCCATCGATTTTTGACCACATCTCCAAATGCTCCCCGACTCCGTCGACTCCAAGTGAACTCCAAATGCGAGCCACGAGTAGGGCCCCAGCGAAGCCCTCGGCGGAGTGCCGCAGCTTGGGCTCCCAAGCCGCCAGCGACTCGAAGAGCGGCTCCTGATCCCAGCCGTCGGATCCCAGTATCGTGGGATCCGAGCGGCACGCAGCAAAAACCAAACCCGAAACGAGGCGACATCCGACAGCCCATGTTTTGTGTTGTTTTAAAGACATGCAGCTTGAAAGGCTACAGGGTTGAAGTAGCATGTGAAAGGCCCTTGAAGGTTTCGGTTTCATTTGGCCAGCCTGGAACAGGTATACGTAGAGCGTAGCATCCCCTAAGCTCGCCTCAATGAGGCGCTTCCGCACACTTCGCACCAGCTCCAAGTGCCAACAATTCCGTCAGGGACTGACTCTGACATGATCATGGGTCAACAGCCAAATCGTACCCCCAGTGAACATCCCAATCCCCCACTAAAATACACTAAGATGGGTGGTGCACCTACCAACCAAAATGGGATCCCAAAACGGTTTTGACCCACAGCCACATGCGTCTTGACTGCAGCTATCAAATTGAGCCTCCCCCGCAGGCTTTTGGCTTTCTGTCCATTTTCGACAAACTGCCAACTCCAGGATGCCCGCCAAGGCTTTGTGGCGCAGCAAGGCTTGCACCATACCTCCGCCTCAGAGCGGCTGCTCTGCGGTCTTTTGTTCCAGCGTATAATCAGCAGGGCGAAGGATCAGGGCCAAAGAGACCAAAGGCATTGAGTGGTGCCGGGTTAAGGAGTTTAAGCGTTTCGCCGACTCGTCGGTCAAAAAGCCAAACCAAAGGTACCCTCAAAAAAATCGCACCACAGCGGGTGGGTGGTGCGGAAGCGTGCTCCCGCCTGCTGTTGCGAGCAGGAAGAAGAGAGCAGTGGGCAGGGCCAAGTAGCGATGGTACTCGGCAAGGGCAAAGGATGCACATTGCTCAAGCCTTGAGAAATACAGCCCGCCTCATCCGTCTGCCTGGCAGGCGTTGCAATTTGCAATGCGGCGTAAAGTCCAGGAGTCCAGGCGCGCCCAACGAAGGTGACGACCGTTGCCATGCCAACCTGGGATCGGAAACATGCGCCACGATCCACACCAAGCTGCTTGAGAGCCCTGCTGCAATGAGATCCGCCAGGATGCCGTGCATTCGGCCTTAGCATTCGCCGGCCTTCCAAGGGGTGAACAAATATTGTTCAAGACTTGTTGCCTGAGGCAGTGGCCGACAGTCTCATCCTTAGGAAGACCAAACAGCGGCCCAGCTTGGCATGGCATGACGAGACTCGCAAGATGGATGGACTCGCCACTGCGCCCAGCCAGTCACGTCTCTGCGCTTTTTCGTCCAGACAAGTGACGTGTTGCGTTCCTGTTTTGCATATCGGACCTCGCCTAGGTACGTTGTGGGAGGTCCTGTATGCTGTCTTTGCAGGAGGTGTTCCCCAGCCACGGGCAGTTGAGAGAGATGCGAGGCTGTGAAAAGAATTCGGCAAGCCCGTGGCAAAGGGGGCGGGCATCAAAAATCAAAGTGGGGGGCAATTCCCACCAGGAACACGACGCCAGAAAATCTCTGAGACCAAACCTCGGGTGGCAACGCCACAGCTTCCAAACAAGTCAAAGTGTGATCCAAAAGAACATGTTGTTAAAGGCCCAAAGCCCTCTCGTCGGGCAAGGCACGCCTGGCCTTTCCCCGAGTTCCTGGTGAGTGCCCAGTGGAAACACGGGCACACAGGCGCTGGGCAAATGAAGGCCAGAACCCGTGCGCCCGAAGCCGCGGCTTCCGAAGCCGCGTTGCCCAGTCTCAAAGGCAAGGCAACGTTGGCTCCAAATTTAGCCATGGCAACAAACGCCGGCACAACTAGAATGAACCCATCTACGTTAAAGCGGGCTGAATATGATTATGTGTACAAAAAACATAATGGCCTCGTTTATGGCGATACCTAATGTCCAAGTGAGTATCAAGGGTCCCGCTCGGAAGCCTTTGAGCTCGAATCTGGGCTGAACCCCGCCATGAAGCCTAACCTACGCGGGTCAATTGACCCTATCAAATGGGTGGGGTGAAAAAGGAGAACCTCGAGGCCAGCCCGCTTTGCTCGCCGCGAATCATGACTGTCTGAAACGTGCAGAAATAGATTGGGCTTCTGGACGGTTCTCCAGAAGTCTTTGTCTCAGACACCTGCATTCCGCAGAGATGAGAATGGATCGCCGGAGAAGAAGCTGTCGACCGTATTTTCTTTGTCATCGTCACCTGCTTTTCTCAAAGCTGAAAGACGCTCTCAGAACGTGCGAACGTGGCTTTGCCTTGTGGTGACGAAGCAAGCGGAAGAAGCGTGGGAAGGGTTGACTCGGCGCACTCCCCTTCATAGTCCTGACCTGAGAAGCCATCAATTGCCATCACTAGCTGTGAATTGAGGCGAGCGCCATCTAGGCCATACCCGTAGTCGTAGCCGTAATCATAGTCCTGCATCAAGTACACAGTCTTACTGTCTGACAAAGCCAATCCGTTTAGCGCGACTTTACAAGCAAACCTACACCAAGTTACATCGAAATGAGAGAAAGCAAATACAGAATGTGGAATGCAAAGGAATATTGAAAACATATGCTCGAACCAATATGTAAACTATGCACTTAAACGACTCACTCATCGTGGGCAGCTTTGTCGAGCTGCCAGCATTCAAGGATATAGGCAGCGCCTTGAGGCTAAGAAGCCAGGTCTTGCCGGAACCCATCGCACTCGGATGGAACAGCCTAAGGAAATCCCTAAGTTAGAATGCAGGCGAGCGCGATGTCGCGTAACCGCCCGGTGGCATCCACGCGCACCTTGCGCTAGAATTGGTCTATCGACTAACTGGTCCCTTCCCCCCAGCAGGAAGCCCAAGTTCCTCACATGCGCTCATTGACATGCTTGTTTCACAGTACATGATGTGTATAAAACATAATACACACATACAAACATCTTGCAACTGCTGCCTTTGCACACTCACATACCCGGAAACTTGAGAAGATCTTACACTCTTGGGAATGCCATCTCATCCCCCCTTGCCCAGCCTTGTCCAGCTGAAGAACGGCCCTCTGATTCCAAGACGGGTACGGGCCTCGCGCAAGATTCACGTCAGCGCGGGTTTTAACAAATTCGGCGCAGATCGGAGTTGGGCCAAGGTGCGCCAGCCCCATTCAGCCTCTGCCTCTGCCACCTGGGCTCGGAGAGTTCGGAGAGAGAGAGCGGGGGCGGCCCTGCCTCTTGCTCCAGGAGGGCCTTTTGGATGATTTGAGCCTCCACGTCGCGCAGCTCCGGCCTGCCGCAACCCAGGCCAGCAAACCCACACTCGCAAGTCACTGAGGCTCGAGCGCCACGATGCCAGGCACCGACTCTTGCCAGGGCGCCTGAGCCGACTGTCGGGTCGACTTGGCGGTTTGCACGTTTCCGGCGGCCATCTCCCGACCCCAGGTTTCAGGTGCCTCTTCCGTGTCTTGCGGCGCATACTCCTCGGCTCCAAACGCGAACAAACTTCAAGCGCCTTTCCTCGTCCCCGCCTGTGGCCGACTCGGCGCGCGGGTGCGGCGCGCGGTCCTGTCGACCTGAGAGGCACACGCGGCACTGGGTGCCCCACGGCCCCCAGGCGCCCGACGCCCATCGATGCCACAAAGCGCCGCTCCTCGCGAGCGACTCGCCAGCGAGGCACAAAGCAAAGCCGAGGCGTCGCGAAGCTTCGGCTCCTTCTTTCGGCGCTTCTTTTCGTCCGGGGGACAAAGGTGACAGAAGAGGCAAGCCTCGAATCCAACAGCTACACCAGCGGCATGGAAGCTACCCTTCCAAGTCATGTGGGCTCACAAGCGCGTCGGCAACTCAGCAGTTTGGGACCTGCCTGGCCACTTTGACACCCGTCGGACTTCCAGAAGAAGGCGCAAGGCTTACAACGCCTCACGTTGCTCAACGGCCGCTCAGAGCAGGCAATCCTCTCTCTCTCTATCAAAAGCAGGCTCACAGCAACGCGCGCCTCAACTCATGCGTCGCTGAACCAACAGAAAGCCCACACCCGGGCGGCGGCGGGGGTAAGACCTCTGCAAGCAAGTGCCGAACAAACCTACGCACTAGGTCATTGAAAAAGACAAGTACTGACACGAGACAACTGATTCAAAGCTGCCGCTGCCTGCATGTCAACCGGCGGCTCCTTTGGCGGCCGGGGTGGTGAGGAGACGAGGTTCAGCAGGACAGAAGCGGCCTGCGCATCCCATGCGTCAGTAGGGTTGCGAATTGCTTCAGACTGTCCCGGTTTAGGGGAAATCGCACGAATGTTTGAAGCCGGCACCAATATCTCTTCGGTGTCCCGACCGTGCAAAAGCTTCCGGCAGGCTTGCAAACTCGCAACTTCTCACGTGCCTGCGACGGATTTGCCATTGCTCCGGAAACGTCCACTAAAACAAGCGGAGGCGTCTGGTGTGACTTTGCACGCGAGAAGGAGCAAAGGTCGGGCGAAGGAAAAGACGCTCTGCGCGAGCCCTTGCGACAGACTTCAGCCCAGTCTTCGGGCCTTTCATGCTGCGGCGTCGGCCATGCATCAATCTGATGTATTCCGCGCAGAAATCACGCCCCTAGCCGTACATGTTTTCGCTTAAGAGAGATCATGTGGGACCTCTGCGTGTCCCACGGCAGTTTACACTGAGCTTTCGGCTTTGTCCGACGCCTGGAAAGAAGGTGCAGAATTTGCGCCAGAGGTGTGGTTCTCCCAAGCCTGCACCACGAAAGCTGCCGCCACGCCCAAGATGAAGCTGGGCATGGCCATGACTGGACCTCAAAGGATGGGCCTTCGGTGTGAGAACGGGGACCGCTTCCTTGGGAGCTATCTGGGACGCTAGCCGTCCACGGGCCACAGACAGCTCAGCAGCCAAAGGCCCACAACCTGACTCGACGTACCGCGCAAACTTGCTTGCCTCCCCAAAACTTTGGAGAAGTGGCTGTGTTTGTCAAAATACAGCCAATGGGATTTCATTTTGGTTGGTAGGTGCATTCACCACCCATTTTAGAACCTGTTTTAGCGGGGATTGGGATGTTCACTGGGGGGTACGATTTGGATTTTGACCCAGGGCCAAGTGTGTGTGGGAACCTGTCGTGCTGCCTGTGCGCCCGGCCACTGCAAAGGTCAGCTTTGGACACGGCCGGCACAGTGGGCTGGACCTTCGTCTCACAAAAGGCTCCAGCAAGCAAGCTGAGAGGCGCACAGGCAGGGGAAGATGAGCCAGCAAGGCAGCAGCCTGCGCCCCAAAAATTTGGCTCGGTGACGATAGGCACCCTTTCAACGGGTTGGAATCCGGAATCGTGAGAGCACCCTATTCGGGGCTTTCTCATGGCCAGTTCCAAGGGTACAAAAGTAAAGCCCAAAGGTTAATGGGGCCAATAGGTCCAGTTCCCTCTTGCCCTTAATCTAATTGTCTGCAGGCTAAACATTTCTAGGGGCATGATTCTGGATTTGTCTTTGTTTCTGTGAGATTGCGCTGGGAGCTCCGAGCTGTGGTCACTGGCTTGAGCAAGGTATGCCCTTAATCCCTCGCTTAACAGCCCGTTAAACTGACCTCCCCTTGGCTTCAGCTGCCACCAAGCCATGTGAATCATGACCATCTCCGGATGGAAAGATAAGGCCGGCACATGGATGCTGTCCATGTGGCGCCATTCGGGCACTGCATGGCCTCCTGAGAACGACATTGCCATCCAACTCCTCAAAACGCCGCCCTCCCCGCTAGCGTGGCCTTGCGCCCTACGCAAGGCCGCTGCGAAACCCGAAACCCGGTCCTCCTTTGACCACTGCAGCAGCAGCAGGCAGCTTCCACGTGGCAGCTGCGGCTGCAGGGCTAAGCTCCTTGCAAGCCATGGCCGCTCGACCGCCGTCCCGCACGGACAGGCAACGTCAAAGAAACTCCAACCAGTTGTTCTCCTATTAACTCCACATCCCCAGGTCCGTGTGATCAAGCTGCCGTTTCATGGCGCAAGCTCCGTTTTCCAACACTGATCCTCATCAGAGCCCTGGCGGGCAAAACAAACTCTGAAATCTCATCTAGTTAGGACCTGTCCCACATGTCTAAGTGCACATGCCTTAGCCGCCTTAGCCTCTTCCCATTTCAGGCGCCGCTTCTCAGCTTCCCTCCACTTTGGATTGAAAGGGCTTTTCCAGTTTCCCCTCGACATGCCAAACCGGTCTCCAAACCAATTCGCTTTCCGACCAACCCCTCGGTCCAGGCCATGGCCAGCCATGCCGCCGGCCACAGCCGCAGGAAGCGCCGCAGGAAGAAGCGCCGCAGCTGCCGCAGCTCCAAAGCGGGCTGCCACTGCGCCACGAAGCCGCTGAGCACCATGAAACACGCAGCGCCGCACTCCCCGCCACGCAGCTGACCCACCTGAGACTCTCGATGCTCCGTTTCCATCAAGCCCGAAAAAAGCCAGATGAGCCAGATGCCACGTGTCAATTGTCTCACCGCATATTCAACAGATGCATGAGTATGATGTCGCGGCTGGATTGCTTCAGAACCTCAGAATTTCAATATGTCATGCTTTGAGTTGGGCATTCTTTTCCATGGAGCCACCAAACACGAGGGACTTCCCAAGAGAGTGGCTCCGGCTGCGGCCCGGGCCCTCCAAATGCCCGCATGCTCTGAGGGCAGGAATCGGCTGCACAGCACCCAGGCGGCACAAAGGCAGCGCACGCCTCCGAGCGAGAGAACGACTCGGTGCCAAAGAGCTGCTTTTTGCAACTGGACAGCACGACGCTTGAGCTGGAAGAATAAGCTCAGGTGACATAACCCAACAGCTCCCCCAAGCCACCCCCAAACCTTATCTGGGCTGAGACCCCTTAGCTTTCAGCTGTTGGGGGAAAAACACCGTCAGGGCGTCAGTTGCGCAAATGTCCCGATGTGAAGAACCTGTACGGCTTCCACCTCCGGCCTTGCAAGTGCGGCAGCTGCATGGCCCATTGCGAATTGATCAAATGAACCCTTGAAATTTGATGCACTGACTGGACTCTCTTTGACATGGCCAAAACGCTTGCTCGAGGTACGCATGCGGCAAGTGTACTCCTTCCTGCCCTCTGTGCTGGTGTCTCAGAGGTAAATCCAGTTCAGGTCTCCTAAACCTCTGAAGCTTTGCATACGCATGACCTTCTGGGCCAGTGCGCAGGTCACATGCAACGCATTGGAAGCAGCTGCATGAGGCAAACGATGAGCGAAGAACAGCAAGCTCCTCTCCGTTGGCGACAAAAACATGATGCAAGGCCCGGACTCTGGGGGCGGGGGGGGGGCGCGGGTGCCGCTTGAATGCATCCAAGCGCCAGATTGATGTTGCAAAAGGCAAACGCTGCGAACTGCTTTTAGTCACACTGTTGGCGGCTTGCGTAAGTACTCCAAGCAAACGTCGTTGCCTGGCCACATCACCACATACACTCGGCTTGCATGAGCATTCCGTAACCCATTGGACGCAATCGAACACATTTGTTTTGCTTCAAGCTCCGCAGCATCGTGCGTAGAGCGCCCGCCCTGATAGGGCTCACAGCTCCTCAGCCACGGGCTCCTGCATGAACATGATGTGCTCTCCTTCTTGGGCCTTCTGCGCGTCATGCACTTCGTTGGAGTCATAGTAGTAGTCGTAGGAGCCGTAGTTGTTGCGGATGCGCCTGTTCCGCATGATGCGGCGAATCCGCCGAGCCCGCCCGTGGTACCTTTTGTAATACGGAGAAGGACCAGGGGTTGAGGCAGGGTCTGCACCAGTTGTTGAGGCGGCGGTGGTTGAGGGTGGCGCTGGGGTGGTTGTGGGTGGCGCTGGCGTGGTTGTGGGCGGTGCTGGGGTGGTTGTGGGTGGCGCTGGGGTGGTTGTTGTAGCGGTTGTTGTTGGTGATGGGGTCGTGGTAGTGGTGGCGCTGGTAGTAGTTAGGGTGGTTGTGGCTGTGCAAGATGGCACAGGGCAGTTGGGCCCGCAGCAGCACAGCCTTGTGGCGCCTGCCACACCTGAATTGCATATCGCTCGTCCTGCTGGGCTGTAAAGGCACGCTGGACCATTGAAAACTGGCGCTAGCAGAGGGGTGGCAAATTGCCGGAACACAGCGGGCCTAGCCAATCCTGGGCAACTCAAGGTACTTCCGGCCAGGGCAAAGGTCTGGTTCATCACTCTCGTCATCTCTTCCCGGGTCTCACAGGCTTGGTTGAGGGCATTGAGACCGGCCTGGTTGCATTCCCCTCCATTTGCACGTCAAAAATCAAAACAACTGACTGCATCAGTGCTCGCGGCCGGTGTAGCCACCTTCCAGTCGCTTGCTGACCCAGGCCAACAGCAACCAAGAAGAATCGCGATCATCACGGCACCCGTCATGGTATGCATGAAAGCGCTGGCGCAAGCCGCAAACTATGCTTGCTACGGGGCTTGAGAGTACAAGCTAGGCCGCAACTTGATTGGCGATCTGGGGTGATGGTTCAAACCAGACCTCCGGCTTGAAAGCAAACTGAAACATACCCATGCCCGGAGAAAAAACAACTCGGATCTGCCTTCCAAAGACATGGGGAGCTTCTGGAGTCTTGGAGCAGTTCAACACAGCCTACATGTATGGCGCCTACGCGCCGAAGATCTCGGAGCTGCCAGAATTGGGCCTGAGGAAGTGTAGCGCAGATCGGAGAATGGCGCACTACAGGGAGCAGCCACGGTCAAGCATGTGCCAACTACAGTCACTTACAAGTACATGTGTTGCTGGTACTTTACCGTGATAGCGGAACACTACTTGCTGGAGCAGAAACGACAGTCTTGTCTACCAGCCTTGATTCGCAAGCCTCCATAGAAAGAGCTCACTACAGGGAGCAATTACGGTCAAGCGTATGTGACAACTACGGTCAGTAGCAGTCACTCACAAGACCGGCAACTACAAACGGAGTGTTGGACCAAAGGAACGCAGCCTTCCCTCTTTACCGTTCACCCTTCCCAGTACCCGTGACGAACCTGGACTTGGGTGGGGAGCGAGGGGGGGGGGGGTATGAGGGAAGATTATACCAAACGTGTCACAACGTGTTGCGTGCAGAAAATGCTTGTTTGCAGCTTCCTTCCGATTCCTCCAGGCTTGTTCCTTTCCATTTCTTTTCCATTTCTGTTTATTTCTTTCAACCTTCTTTGCATGTTCATTGCTTCCTCATTCTAATTGATTAGAACGTTGTTTCTATTTTTTGAAGATGACGCACATGATGATGAAAATGATGATATGCGATGACGAAAAAAAAAATGAACCGAAAAAGAGGATATGTTGCGCCTCCTTGATGGTGGAGGTCAAAGGCGTCTGCGCCCAGGGAAGTGCTGAGGAGCCCAACCTCGGTGCGCACCCAGCGGTTTTTCCGGGACCTTTGGAGATTCCGTGGAACCGGCAGCGTCGCACCCATGTAGACGCGCAGCTCCTGCCACTCGAGTATTCGTCGTCCAGAGTTTCCGGTGGCTCCCCGTCCTCACCGAGGCCTTCCTTGAGCAACTGGCCCTGAAGCAGCGCCCCGCCCTCTACCATCAGCTGCAGAACCTTGAAGCATTTGGAATCCGCCGTTGGCCAAACCCCGATTTCGGTGTGGGTCAAAAATGGGGTAACCCCTAAATGGGTTGCCCTGGTAAATCGAACCAAGGACTAAAACCTGCGGTCCATTTCCTGGTGGTTTTATTTTGACCCAAACCCATTTCGCGAATTCAGCGCAATCCGTGGCTCCAAAACCGTCCCGGGCTTCCAGCGCCACGCCGGCCCAGCTCTGCGAGGACACTGAGCAGGTCCAGGCGGCCATCAACCTCAAGGCCCGAGGTCAAATTCTGCATTTGGGTATGGGTCAAAATTAAACCACCAGGGGACCGCAGGTTTTAGTCCATGTTTCCATTTACCAGGGTTTCATATTGTTGACCCACAGCCATTTCGACTGGCCGCATCCGAATCCCTAACCCGAAATCCCGCTCACCTCAAATCCTCCAGCACATGAGGCAGGCACCAGCGGCACCTCGTAGAAATCCACACCAGAGTCGCGCCACCTGAAAGTCATCCAAAAGCCAAACACCATGCGGCCTTTGCACCACCTTTGCACTTGCCTCTTCTTTGAGTCTTCCTTGCACTCCTGGCCTCAGACTTGCAGTCTCTCGTACGTGCGGAAGCGGAAGGTGCGCCCCAAGCGGCTGGTGAAGATCAGCGTGGGCGCCAGCTTGGTGTCCATCAGGGGACCCTCGAGCACGCGGCCGCGGCTGTCCAGCACGACTCCTGGCCACGGTGGCCAACTCGAAGCCACGCCACTTCCGAGTCTCTCATCTTTTGTCTTGTTGGCATTTTTGGGGGGCCTTTTTTTTCGGGAGGGGGGGGGGGGGGGGCAATATTGGGGGGGAGGGGGGGGGCATTTTCAAGGGGGCATGTTTTTAGGGGGCATGTTTTAGGGGGCATGTTTTAGGGGGCATGTTTTTAGGGGGCATGGTTTTAGGGGGCATTTTTTCGGGGGAGTGTTTTATTCTTTTTAGGGGCATGTTTTTAGGAGGCATGTTTTTAAAAAGCATTTTTTCTGGGGAGTTTTTTAGGGGGCAAGTTTTTAGGGGGCATGTTTTTAAGGGCATGTTTTTAGGAGGCATTTTTTCGGGGGCTCTTGTTAGGGGGATTTATTTTAGGGGGCATTTTTAGGGGCAGCCGCAAAAATCGCCAAGCCGGCTCCGAATCTCGCCACTCGACTCAATTCTCGCGCGGGCGCGGCGCAGCGGCTGCTTCGGGGCGGGGTCCAGGCGGGCGGTGAGGCTGGGCCTGGGCCCAAAACCGGGCAAGGAGCGGCGAGTGGCCGCCGCGTATCAGGCGCCGGCTGGTCTTGCAGCGCGGTACCACTCCCTCAGCCCAAACCAAACAAGTTGGACTCAGTCTCAGAACAAAAGGCCGACACCCACCATGATCGCATGGGAATCAGCTCGCAGCTGGTGAGCGTCCTGCCGTGCCTCCGCCTCCAAACATCTGATCTCTCTCTCTCTCTCTCTCTCTCTTGATTCCTGCCAAACAAATCCGCCTGCGTGATCCACTGAGACGTTTTGTCCTCGCACGCCTCGCAGCTCAAGACTCGTACCCTTGTTAGTCACGGGCTCTGAGGCTTTGACCACCCTGCCGTCTAGACTCATTGCGATCTTTAAGACCACGTAGGGCCTATCAGTTCCCCTTCCGGTCACAACTCCTTGTGGTCCTGGCCCCAAACCTTGTCCCGTCTCAAATCCTTTCGAGGGGCCCATAGGCATTCCCAGTTTCCCCAAGAAGCTTGTTCGAAGATGGTACATTGAACCTGCTTGGCCTGCCAGTCTGGCGATGGTGCAAATAGCTGCGGAAGGAGTCGCGGACCTTCTCCTGGGACGCTATCTGTTTTCGCCCAGCCAGGCAGCCAGGCAGCTGCCTCCGAGATGCCCACATCCACCTGCAAGGCGGGGGAATCATCCATCCCTAGCAGCCTCAAGGCCTCAATGCCAGCTTCGCGCAGGAATCCGACACCTACCCCTCCGAAGCTGGGATCTGGATCGACGTGTCCAATGACCTGAGCGAGGCTAAGTGGCTGAGCCCTTCAGGCCCGCCGCCGAGGCCGCCGAGGCCGCCGAGGCCCAACACATCGCTTCACTTTCTTGGCAACGACCAGCTCATCGCAGGGAGGTGTTCGCCTGGGCCGAGGCAATCGAGCTGTGCCCTCTGTGTCTGAGCTCGCGACTTGCCGGGACCCCTGTGGCAGGGTTCCAGGGTCGTGTAGAGCGTTGCTCCAGTGAAGTCACTGACGCCCTTCGCCTCGCTTGCTCTCCGAAAACCGACGTTCCATGCCGTGCCGACGTTCCGACGTTCCGACGTTCCGTCCTCAGCATCACGAAACGCCTCCACCTCCGCGTGAGGCGTGCCGGGCCCCCTGGCGAAGCTGGCGCAGCTGGCGAAGCCGGAGCGCGGCTGCGACGTTCACTCGAAACTCGAAGGCTTTTTCGCCACGAAGTCGCGGAGATTCCGATCGCCCGCCTGTGCTTAACCCCACAGCTGTGCAGCTCGCTGGTGGTACAGTGAACAACTGATTCAGGCTCGCTCAGTGAGCCCAAAAACATGCGCAGCTTCGAGACACCGACAGGCTGCTCAGTTCTAATCAAACTCTTGGGCGTGTGTTCCGTCTGCAAAATGGCCCAAATCCCAGCCTTGCCCCTGGGTTCTGGGACAGACTGTGGTACCAGCGGCGGCAGTTCAGGGGAGCTTGCCACGTGTTGGTTGCGCTCGCCTGGGACTTGCTCGTTCCTGTGCTCCAGCTGAAGGTTCTGCCCTTCCCCCCAGCACGGCGCAAAAGACCAACACTCAGCAGCACCAAACGCCTTCTTCAACTGCACCTTGCACGCCTTGCTCAGGACCTGTCCACCTTGATATATATTTGTTTGGTCTGCTCGGTGTCCGCGGTGTGGTCAAGTTCCAAGCAGTCCGCCATGGCCAGTCCCCTGCAAAAGATCTGCCTTCAGGTCATCTGCCGTCAGGCAGACGCAGCTGACAGACTTGCTGGGCACCGAGACAATCGCCGTGAGCGCCGCGGACTCCGTGAGCGCCGTCTCTATCAACTTAGACAGCTCAAAGCCAGTCTGTCAGTAAAGCAGAAAGGCCATAAGGCAGTGAGGCGGCATGTGGGTCAAAACCCCTTTCTTCCCCTGAACATCAAGATTGGTGGCAAATGGATGCTCCCCAAAATGGGATCGCCCTAGCTTACGCCCAATGGCCATGTGGCGCGGCGGCAAGCTGGAGCCGAGAGCTTCTCGACCGCAGTCCCCATGTGCTGATTTGGCTGTGGCACGTCAAAAACCGGGAGTAACCCCCAATTGGGTGGCCCGATCGGATGGAAGCATGGACATTCAAACCAGCCCATTTCCTGGTCATAATTTTGACCACCCATTTGGCTGTCTGTGAGCAGGCTCGGTTCAACTTGGCCAGCAGCGCTTGTGATAGCCTTCTCCCAGCACACAGCCCTCTTTCACCACCACCGCCCCGACCCAGGGATTGGGTGCCGTCACCTCAGCCAGATGAGAGATGGGAGGTTTGTTTCACAACCATCATTCACAATCCATTGAGTTAAAAACTTTTGAGGATGGCATTTCTAAAGCCCCTTGCCGTGCCCTTTGCCATTTTCCATGTTATCTCGGGCTCCAGCCCTTCTGCCCAGCTGTCCCTGGCTCAACCTTGGCTCCCAGCATGGCCGCGCTCCCTTCAGCCAGCGGCCCGGACGCCCTCAGCATGAACTGCTCATCCATGGCCTGAGCACCACCCCAAGGCACCTCAACTGGCTGTGGGTCAAAACCAATGGGATCCCATTTTGGGGTAGGTGCACCACCCCATTTTAGTCTATTTTAGTGGGGATTGGGATGTTCACTGGGGGTACGGGATTTTGACCCATGGCCAACTTGCCTCAGAGTGATCCTAAACACTTGGCGCTGTCGTGACATTGCATCGCATGGCGCGTGACATGCGTGCCACACCTCGCCACAAACCAATACATCACACATAGCACTACATTGCCTCCATCCGATCACATCATAGCCGACACTTCGTAGGCGTACGTGTGTGTGTGTGAAATCACAATATCAGAACACTGTGGATGGACGAAATCCCACACCACCTATGAAGCGCCGGAATGATGTTGACAATTACCAACAAGCAATGGTTTCCAATGGTTTCTCATGGTTTCTTGGTGGTGCAGGATTTCGTCCATGTTAAGCACAAGCGCCCGTTAGACCCGTGCCGATGCTGCAGCGCACGCTCGCGCCATCCGCATCCACCGCGCGTGCCGGGCGGTTTGTCGGGATAGGATTATCTTGCTTGCAGAACGCAAGGAGGAGGAGGAGGAGGAGGAGGAGGAGGAGGAGGAAGAGGAGGAGGAGGAGGAGGTTGTAACCCAAATCAAAGCGCACTTCCCAGAGAAGCGTTCCTTTAGTTCAGCAAGTCTCTAACGAAACAAATTTGTGCTGCATTGCTTGAGAATTTCAACTGCGCAATGGGCAAGTCTAAGATGCATCACATTGGGCTGCTTTGCATCGTCTTTTCTCACGGTCTGAACGCTCTGTCCGAGTGCCTGGACAGGAGATTCAAACGCCACGTGGCTGCTTCACGTTGCGCCTCTCAGCTTCCCAGGTGACGCCTGCGAAGCTAAGTCTGCAAATCACTTGGCTCAGACGTCGCGCCTGGCGCAAGGCCCGGCAGTGCAGGAACTCCAAGGGCGAGAGCTCCGGGAAAGCGGGCGAAGGGCCTCACAGCCGTCACTTGAGCCCGCCAACTATTTCATGTCAATGAACCGTCAAGCTGCGAAAACCATGGAAAGCAGGTCGCGGCAAAATACAAAGAAGCGTTGTAACATTGGAAAGGGGCTTTCGGACGAGACCCCGGACGTGCCGGATGAGACATGTCCCGACTTGCAAATCCCAACGGCGCACAACATCGACACAAAACTACCCCGCATCGAACTTCAACGCCATAGGAAATTCCCAATTCCAAATCCCAACGGCAATGCAAGCGGCAGAGGGAGTTGCGCGTTGGGTTGCTCTGCTTTGTCGCTTGGCTCGCCTGATGCTGCTGCCACGCTGTTTGCCTTGACTGTGGCGACTTTCCCAACTTCGAATCACCATGGTGCAGTACACACGCGCAGATACGAAGCGGCAGCGACTACATTGTATAATTATATACATACACTTACGTTGATGTAACTTTGTCATGTGCCATGGCACATGGTCAAATATGTGTGTTTAAAGCCAAGCTGGCCATGCCCCATGCCAACATGAGTGAGCCCCTCCTTTTGGACCGAAAAATCTGAGTCCGTGCTCCCAATGCTTTGACTGAGCCTAGTGTGACAAGGCCCAAGGCCCGGACATGTCTATCACCGGCCGGATACCTTTGGTCGAGGATGTCGAAGCAAGCTTCGACTCTGCACCACGTGCCTGGAACATATCCACTCGGCCTCAGCAAACTGTGAACTCCCAGCGCCGAGAACTGCGTCTGGCAAGGGCCCAAAAGACTTGAGGGCTGACAAGCTTAGGGCACTTGGGTGGCTGCAACAAAAACAGCATCTGTAAAGACTTGACGTCTGCAGGAAAACCTGAACTTGTACCATAGCCAACCTTTTGCCCTTCATGTTGCGACTGGAAGTGACTGCGTCTGGTGGTTCGTATTTTGCCCGCTCTCTGGTTGCAACTTCTAGACTGCGTGCCCTGCTCTAGCTCTTGCTTCAGCTCATGCTTCAGTTCCTGCTTTGGAAGCCCTGGCACGCATCGAGATGGCAAGGGCGCGCGCTCGGAGCAGAACTCACACGCGGGCACTTTGCAGAAACAGGCCCAAATCATGCCAAGTCCGCACACAACCCAGGCGAACATGTGGCTGTGGGTCAAAACCCTGTACCCTCCGTTAAAAAAAATAGGTGGCAAATGGATGTTCCACCCCAAAATGGGATCGCCATAATGCGCTATGGCCATGTCATTGGTTGAACATTCGGCGTGGCGGTCACGGACATGCACTGGCCTAGAGGCCGTTTGGCGAAGGGTGCTGCCGCCTTGCTGAACTCATGGGGAGGAAGGCCAGGATACCTTGACGCGTCCCACAACATGCGCCCTGCGGCACATGACATGTGGTGATACAACAAACCTCCTTTGAAATGAAGGTGCCTGCAAAACTTTGCGGATGACCAAGGGGGGAAACAACATTGATGTTGATCACATTTCGTGTCCGAATGCTTATCCTCTCACTCTCACCTCTGCGCGAATGCACTAGCAGCTGATTGAGAAAAATGGTTTGATCCCACAAGTCGTGCCGCTCCAAAGTGCACAAAGAACTTGCAAATTGGAATGGTGTTTCTGGAACATCTCCAGCATTGTCTGTTGCGTGGTCTCAGTTCCTCATTGCCAGGTGCACATGAAACCAGGCGCAACACTGAACGACAGCATGCAATGATTGACTCTCAAATCTATGACGTGTGCAGGCAAGGTGATGACATGACAGACCCGCTCCGGGGCAGGCAGGCAGGCAGGCAGGCAGGCAGGCAGGCAGGCAGGCAGGCAGGCAGGCAGGCAGGCAGGCAGGCAGGCAGGCAGGCAGGCAGGCGCAGGCAGGCAGGCAGGCAGGCAGGCAGGCAGGCAGGCAGGCAGGCAGGCAGGCAGATCACAAACGGACGGACGGGGGGACAGACAGACAGACAAACGGACGGACGGACGGACGCACAAACGAACAAACCAGCAAACAAGCCAGCCAGCCAGCAAGCAAGCAAGCAGGCAAGCAGGCAAGCAGGCAAGCAGGCAGGCAAGCAAGCAAACAAACGAAGAGACACACAAGCCAAAATCAATCAAAATGAAAAATCCATCAACCAACCAACCAACCAACCAACCAATCAGTCAATCAATCAATCAATCAATCAATCAAGCAATCAATCACTCAATCAACCAATCAATCAATCAAACAAACATGCAAACATGAAAAACAAACAAACAAACGCGAGGCAACGCGACGCGGCACGCAACTCAACACGACACAACATAACACAACCCGACACGCCAGGACGCAATACAAACAAAACACACATACAGCACAGCACAGCACAGCACAGCACAGCACAATCCTATGAATGCTGGGAGAAGCCGCCTGCCACGAAGCGACTTTTTCCATCTGGGACTGTCGAGATCCTTCTCCTCCGCCCTTTGAGCCACGCTGCTTGGCCGGCACCACGCGCGGTGCCGGGTCGCGCGGCCCGGGCCTCGTGTCTTGCGGTCACAGGTTCCGGGCTGCGAGAGACCCGAAGCTCGAAGTGGTGATAGCTGTGTACCAGACTGTCTGGCCCCAAATTCTTCGAGGTAGCCCTAACTTCTCAATCGTTGGGTGCTTTTTTGTCGCTATTGAAATCTTGTCGTGGAAGGTTCCCCTGCCACCCAAACCGACGGGCCACAGTCCGGGCCCCGAGCAAGGCCGGCACGGCAAAGGCCGGCACCGGCGCCAACAGCGGGGGCGCAAAGGCCGGAGCGAAGGCCGGCGACGGGGACATGGGCGCCCCGAGCGAGCGCTCGTGCCTGGCAAGCCCAAAAGAGCCAAACTGGAAGCCTTGAGAAACGAAGAACAGCTAGTGCAGCCAAATTGATGCAGAGAAAAAGGGGTGCAGCAAGCAAGTCAACGAGAAGTCTGGGGCCAAGAGCCAGGGAGTGTTTCGGCTCGCCTCTCGGCGCCAAGTCCTGGACCTCGCATCCGCGCCTGTCGCGCTTGCGGACATTTGGACGCCGTCGCATGCGTCTGGGGAGCAGGCGTCAAGTCTCTCGCTGGCGGTGTGCACCTCGGATCGCGGCCCTTCGGGCCTTCAGTCAGCCACTCGATTCTCATCCTCTGGGCTACGACCTTTCCAGTCTGCTGTATCGCGCGAGCACGCAGGCCAGTAGGCCAGTAGGCCAGTAGGCCAGTTGGGAACGGCCGCCCGTGAAAGGAGCTCTAGGACTCATGGCACAGGCGCTCTCTGTACAGGCACGGCAGCATCAGCTGAGAGGTTGCCAAGTGAAATCCTGAATGTCCAGCCGATTGAGATTCTGCCAAGAGATGGGAGAACAGATGTTGCATTCGGCAGCCTCTGCGCTGTCCCTGACCGCTTAAAGCATTGGCTGACCTCAGCCCGTTGGCTTGAGGGAACCAAGCCGCAAAACCGTAGGCCGGCTCAGGATCGCATCCTGCAAGAGCTCAGGGCTGAAAAACCGGTTCTGCTCTGCCCATTTGTGCCTGGAACTGGAGCAGTTGCAGGCTTCAGGATCATCCGGATCGAACACGCAGCCCTCGCCGCTCCTGCCGCCCCCGCAGCAGTAGCATACAAGAGACGTTTCCTGGGCCTTCCGACAAGCCAAATTGGTCAGTGCCCGGGCAGTTGACAAGGCACCCATCTAATGGTGGCCAGCAATGTGTGCAGTCAAACTGCTTCCTCCGGACTTGCCAAACAGAACGAAGCTATTTGGGGGACGTACATTTACACTTGGCTCACGTCAGTACGCTGCCAATTTGAGGTCAAGCCTTACCAAGTGACTCTCCAGCCTCACGGTTTCGAGGGCGTCTTCTAGGGCCTCCACAAACCTGGCGACTCGAGTGACCCGCCACACAGTCCCACGGCTCATTCAGCCAAGCTGCCGATCAATCTCCTCCTGATTGCGTCAGCGACAGAGCCAGCGATTGGTCAAGAATGGGTTTTGGACCCTCTGGAACTGAGTGGCTGCATTGTGTGTGTGTGTGTGCATGTTTTTTCTTGAGGACGACCCATTGCCAAAGGCCAGTGACTCGCTCCTTCGTGGTGTAGAAGGCACAGGACACCCGCGCCGAGCCATAGGTCGCGCCCAACGCCCTGCCGAGACAGCCGGGACGCGAGGACACGTTCCGTGTTTCGGGTGTGTCTCTATCTTTTGTTCTAGCCATTTGGCTGGAGTGCGTTGGGGTCCATTTGGCGAACCCATTTCTCCCACGTCAGAAAATCGCTGATTCCTTGCGCTCCGACGGGTTTCGCCTGTGAAGAGGCTGGGCGCAATGATGCCCTGCGCGGATGGCGATGCCGTCCATGTCCAGCACTCCCGCTACGTCCTTGAGAATCTCAGCTGCGCATCTCTGGAGGCCACGTTCGGGGATCATGCTTCTGCCAAAAAAACTGGGGGGGGGGGGGGGTCCATGGGTCATGATTCTGCCCAAAAGACTGGGGGGGGTTCCCTTGCCCCAAAGTGCCCAGCGCCCCGAAAGACAGACTGAAACACATCCAGTCCTGTGGGTAGACCTCGAGGTCCCTAAGCAGGCGCTCTTGAAACCCCCTCTAAACCCTATGCTTGGCATTCTTAGTGCCCCAAAGCTGCCATCGTCGCAACCAGATGCAACCAATTTTGCGGTTGATGCAATCATACACGAATATGGCCATGGGGCATATGGCTCCATTTTGGGGTGGATGACCACCCATTTGCCACCTATTTTGATGTTCACCAGGGTACAGGGTTTTGGCCCACAGCCACATACGTCGCACGGCCCTGCTTCATCTTGCAATGCCAGAGACGTTTTTGTTGCACAGAGTCTTTCAAAAGGACAGCCGGGCACGGCTGTTTCCCATTCCGCCATGGCGCTGATCATTGAAAGCCACCAGGGCACAGCGGTCTCTGGGGGGGCCGTAGAGCCGCAGCCCAGGGACCCGCGACATCGCCTGTGCCGCTTTCGTGCCAGAAGTGTGAAAGTGTACGTCTAGCAGAATTTCTGGAGTCTCCGTGACCCTTTAAAAATGGGGGCATGACCCCATTATTTTGAAATTTGGGTGGTGACCCCATTTTTAAGGGATCATGGAGACTCCAGGTAGCGACCAGCCCAAAGATCTCGGTGAAAGGATCAAGGGATGGAAGGGGTATGCCCCAACTGCCAGGTCGTTTCATGAATGCCCGTCGCGAGGATTGAACGGTATCGAATTTGGCAGGCGATCCCATCCCCAAATGTCCTCAAATCTGAGGAAGCGGTACACTGGCCGCACCGTCGAACAGCAACGAACAAAGATGTCCAAATCACATCAAACAAGCCGAGTTCTGAATCTTGCAAGGGCCAACTGTGGAGCTCTCGAAGCTGGGCTCGAAAGGGCTTCAACCCAGTTCAACCCAAGCTCTGTTCGACCCACACCTCACAGTTGGCAACGAAACCTCTGCGTGTTACAAGGCAAAATCCGCGCCAAAAATCCGCGCCAATCCGAGGTGCCCAAAGGCCTCCAAGGCCTCGACCCCTGCCTGCCAAAGGTACTCGGACAGCTCCCTCTCGTAGGCCTCTATCCGATCCATGCCCAAACGCAACATGTAGTCACAGGCGGCGCCTGGCGCAAAAGCGTGGCATCTCTGGGGTAAAGTAAAAGCGGATCACTCGAATGATACTGTGGATGGTTGCGAAATCCATTTCGCAGCAACTAAAAAGCCATGGCTGAAACTTTAGTTTGTTGGCAATTATTTACAGGGGGAATCGTCATTCCAGGGTTTCTTAGGTGCAGGATTTTGTCCATCCAGAGTGGGGCAACACCCCTGAACTCGTGGGTCAGCTGAGTTGCAATCTCCAGAGATTTGAGGTTGATTCGACGAGGCTCGAGCAAAGCGGACGTTTTCCTGGCCTAGACCCACAGCTTGCGCAATCGGCGGCGTACCGGCTTCAAAGCGCGCGGGCACATCAGCGTAGAAGGACCGGTCCTGCTTCAAGTGCGTCAAGTGGCAAGCCGCCGGACTCCAAAAGCCAAGCTGAGTTGCAAGCAAATGATCCACGGTCCATATACACTTCTTTGATCATCTCTCCACCACCTTTCCATGGAGGCATCGCCTGGCAGCACTGCGGACAAACAAGCCATGCGTCACGGCGGCACGCCTCCAGGATCTCGGGCCGGCCCCAAAGGAAGCCCACGCCGGTGGGGCCGTACATCTTGTGGCCTTTCGACAGATTCGACGCCTGCGGCATAAGCCGCAGGGCAAAGTTGCCGAGCGGCTGGAGGCTACGAGGAAGTCCACCCCCAGGTCAGCCACATCCTCGGGATACGAATCCATCTGGGACTTTGCAAGAGGCAGAACATGAAGAACGCGTGGGACAGATCTGAAGAATCGAGAACGCGTCTCGGCCAAGCTTCGATCTTCAGGTGTGGCACAGATTGGCACGCATCCAGGAGCACCTCCAGCGAATTGGGATGCGCCAAAGGAAGCGACAGACTCACAGCTTGTTCTGGCTCAAAGGAAAAGCCGCGAATGGCCTTCTCTTGGGCAAGCAAGAAACGAATCGCAACTCGCAAAACAGCGCCTTCGCCCCAACGGCGTGTGCTGCCGCCGCCATCTCCTTCACCTGTCATCCGAGCGCTGGTTTTTTGCCGCAGGCTGGCGGGCATCTGCCAAGGGGCGGGGTTGATGCAGCCCAAGGTGTTGGAGACGTGGCAGAAGGCCACCATCTTGGTCTGCGGGCTGAGGAGCCGCTGGAACTCGTCCAGGTCCAGCGTTCCCTGCAAAAAAAGTATGAGTGCGTCTCAACACATCCGACAAAATCTGCGAGGCCTGAACAGTTCTTGCGCAACACATCCGACAAAATAAGACCCGGCCTCCTCAGTGATGCCGACGTGCTTCAGCGTGGCCCCGGTCTTCTGCGTGGCCAGCCTCAGTCGGAGCCATCCGCAAACCCTCGAGTCGCCAGTCCAAGTCGGCCGAGTCGCTGCCACGGAATGATGTTGGAGTGGTGCTCCATGACCTCAAACGGCTCACATCAAAGGCCCGGTTTTGAGGCCAGGCATTTAAAAGGGAAAGTGTCACATGCCAGGGTCCAACTCCGCTTCGACATCATCCCTGGAGCAAAGTTGGAACCATGTCGTGGCCGCTTCCTTCCCGACACCCGCAGAGAGTTTGTCTAAAAACTCACATGGCTATGGGTCAAAACCCCGTACCCCCAGTGAACATCCCAATCCCCACTAAAGTAGACTAAAGTGGGGTGGTGGACCTAGCCCAAAATGGGATGCCCTGGGTGTTGACCCGCGGCCACATGTTTTTCAGGGCGCCACTGAAACCATGCGCCGCCGAATCCCATCCAGGCCCCTTGATCTCGCGCTTCGCTTGGGGCGCGCGCCGTGATCAGCACCTCATCGCCGGGGCCCAGGGTGCTGCCCCAGCTCTCGGCCACCAGGTTGATGGCGTCCGTGGCGCCGCCGGTGAAGATCACCCTAAGGATGTCGAGCGGAAAGGCTGGAGAAGCCCAAAGGAAAGCCAGTGGCAGCAATAGGGAAAGCCATCCTTGACATCAAGTTGAGAGATTTGGCCGGTCAACACCAATGAGATCCCATTTTGGGCTAGGTCCACCACCTACTTTAGTCTATTTTAGTGGGGATTGCGGATGTTCACTGGGGGTACGGGGTTTTGAATCATAGCCATGTCTTTGAGCAGCTCGGCTCGAGACGCCTCAAGGAACATAAGGAAAGCCACAAGCCCCTGGGGTTTTGGTGGAGTTGCTAGCACAACCTGGCCAGGATACCGGACAAGCAGTTTCCTCAAGATCGAAACTCCTGCAAGGCATATTGATATGATCAACCGCAAATCCAGGGGGGAGGTTTCTTTGTGGCAAAAAAGAAGCTACCGCCAGCTGGCTGTGGCTCCAAAAACCGGTGCCAAAATGGCTTGCCCTGGCAAGTGGAAACATGGACCAAAACCTGCGATAAAACCCCCTGCTGAGAGAATTTTGAGCCACACCGAAAGCATGCCTCACGCCTCTGAAAACCGAAAGCACCGTCGGTGCTTTCGGTCCGAGCAGCTCCTGCGGCTTGGCGCCGATGAGCTTGGCCACGCTGCTGCGGGCGTGCTCGAAGGCCTGCGACTAAGCGGGACGGGCATACAGGTGAGTCACAGGCTGTAGGTCAAGTTGGTACTCAAAATGGGTTGCGTTGGTTGATGGAATCAAGAACTAAAACCTGCGGTCCATTTCCTGGTGCTTTAACTTTGACCCAGAACCATATGAGTCACAAGCAAAACCCAGGATTGAAATAGTCTAGAACCATGCTTCAAGAGTATGAAAAAGGCGAAGAAGGCACCCATGTATGGTTGGGATTATCCCTTGCCAACCTTCTACCCGGGGTTTGATTGTGACTCAGGCGCTCTTCATAAAGTTTGACCCCAAACCCTAAAACTGCTTCGAACGTCAGAATCAAATTCTTCAAGGAATCTCAACTGAAATCCTACGATGGTGCACAGACTGAGACCTCTGCAATCATCCCTTCGGCTCTCAACTCCGAACCCTGCAAGGACATGTGAGTCATAATCAAAACCCGGTACAAAACTGGTGAACCCAGAGCCATGTAAAGAATTAAGAAGCCGGCCGCAGCTATTTACGGTGGGATTGTCCCTAACCTTCATCTACCCGGGTTTTGATTGTTGCTCACTTCGAAAAGCAATGCTCTGTGAAAGCTCAACCACAAAAGCGTTGAACCTCAACGCAGAGGTGCCAAAAAGGCAAAGCTATTGGGCTTGGATGACTGAGCGGCTTTGGTTGCGCTTCGTTTATTCGTATGAAATTCCTGAAGCTTGGAGATGTTCTTCTATGTGTGAGGTGATGTCTTTCACTGCGGGAAATTTTCGCAGCGTCTTGATTGACAAGCCTGTGCAACCTTTCAACTGATAGGACTTCACACTCCACTAAAGGGCTTCCTGTACCCTACAAAGTTGACCCCAAACCCTAAGATCCCAATGCCGGCCAAACTCCACTCAGTACGAACATATACCCAGAGCAGACAGCTTCATGGGCGCCAAAAAAATACATCTGCACCAGTCCACTTCGCAACTCTTGAACCCGAGGCCTCTACTAGCCACAACCAAACCCTTCTTCAACCTGGCTGTGGCTCAATAACACGTACCGAAATGGCACCTTGGTAAATGGAGCCAAAGACTAACCATGGCTCATTTTGAGCCATCCCCACCTCCCCCACATTCCCCATCCAGCCTCCGTGGCCCGTTCGGCCAGGGCATAGGTGCCGCGGTGCACATTGGCAGAGTGCTCCTGAGGCTTCGGCCAGAATCCCACGGCACGCAAAAATGGATCCAGCTATCACCCATCCATTCATCCGCCTAACTAAATGTTCACTTAAAATTGGGGGCTATTTTTGAAGACTGACATACATGCATGTTCATTCCGGGTCAAATGTGCGGTGTCGGACCTCACACTCAAATCTCACCCTTGCCAGGCGTCATAGTAATCGGTGAGAGCTTGCAGGACGCAGGAGGGTTTCTGTGAAGTCGCCTTTGCAGGGCAGCATGTCAAAAGCCATCGCTGCACCTAGCTTCGTGGCTCTCCCCCCTTCGAACGTGCAATCGCATCACGCCGAGCGACGCCGGAGTCCAAGTAGATCAGCGGAACGCCCGGGTACGCGTTGCTCTGCAGTGCGGGGAAGTCTCGCCGCACCTCCGCCGCCAGGTCACCTCAAGCGGACCGAAACGGACCGGCGGATGCGAAAAACGGCGGCGAGCTGCGAATGGCGCGCCTGGGGTCTGTGTCGGCGTCCGCCTGCGCACCTGTCCGAGTGTGTTGGAAGTGGCAAGCAAGATCTGAATCTCCGCCTGGGGCGCAGCCGTCGCCGCGGCTGCAGCAGCTGCAAGAAGCGGGCGGCAGCGAGCGCCGCGCGCCTGGTCAGATTGCGTCCTGCCCATAGGTGTCCTTTTGGCAAAATTGATGGCCCTGCAAAATGGAATGAGACCAATCTAAACGAGTGCCATCTACTTCTGGTCAAACTAACCCAAAAAGGAACGCCATCATGCCCCTGCCCCTCAACGGCGCCCCACTATGCCCCGCTCGGTGTTTTTTTCTCGACTTGAACTGCCAGCCTGCGGCTGGGTCGCCTGTGGCTGCCGGACCGGCCCGGCAGGCCGAGCAAGCCGGGCAGGCCGGGCCGGCGCCAGGCACGGAAGTGCCGCCGGCGCGGGAGCCCCGCGGAGCGCCATGAGCGATGAAAACTCACGAGTGGCGTGACACCATGTGAGTGATGAGAAACCAAAGTAGTTAAATATATATATATATATATGTATATATATTCTACGTATACATGTCATACTCTGTATTTATATATATATATATATATATTAACATTCTATCATTTGCCGGGTGATAATATGTATGTATGACCTCAGGATTCAATGCGCGCTGCAACGGCAAATCCAAGAAACATATCAAGTGGTGAAAACATTCGACAAACCATGGCTCTTTGAGATGGCACGGCCTCGGAAGAAGGAAAAAAAAAGACTTCACTCGGAGAGCGCGAGCTTGCTTCAGAGGCGCTGCCCAGGCTGCGTGCACCGCAAAGGGCACGAAAGGCCACTCCTGTCTCCGTTCGGGTGCAACCCCCTGAAACATCGCATCTCAGTCCTTTGGGGGAGAGCCATGCTCCGCTGTGAGGACGACAGGCATGGCGTCCCCCTGACCAAGACCCATCTAGCTGTCACGAGTCAATCCACCGGCCCATCTCCGCCCAGCTTCCCTTTTTCGAACGCTCGGCCGCGCGCGCGCGTATCCTGGCATCGGAGCATTGCAACTCGCATCTCAATGAGCAAAACGAGCAGGACATGCCCTTAGCCCTTCAAAGACCCGTCCTGGGTCGTGGCCCTCGAAGCCGAGGTCAGGCAAAGGGCTCGAGGCTTGGTGACCTGTGCACCTGCAACTGTGTGACTGTTCTTTGGCGACCTAAGGAAAGTATTACGTCCCCATAACAGGCCAAAGTCTTGTGTTTGCAGCATACAATCCCGTTGCTCCAATCCTCTCCACTCTCGGCCTGAAGCTCGTGATCCGCTCTTTGCTTCTGCTGTTCCAGCGCATGTGGGACCAAAAGCAAAGGCGCAAAGCAAACGACAAGAGAGGTCACCGACTCACTCGAAATCCGAAAGCAACAGTTGAGAGTTTCAGCTGTGACACGTGCTGCATCACAATTGGACTTCCAACGCCACCTGCCGAAGGCGGGGCAGCTTCGTGGCCCCACCGAATTCCCGCGAGCCGCCACCAGAGCTGGGCCAAAGGCATCCAAGGCTCCCTAAACCCTAGGGGTTCAAGCCCCATCATAAGAATGGCTGACCCGATTTCAATGATGACACGTTCTTAGGTAAACAATGGTGGTATGTTAACTGGTTTGAACCTTAGGGTAAACGCTGTGCAAGGCGGATCTCAGGCGATCGCACAAATTGCGTCACTCGCGCTGTGCCCCTCACAAGCTGCTCTTGGAGCGCAAGTGGTCCGAGAAATGCGAATTCGGGCGCACCATCGCAATGGCGTGGCCAAACACGATGGCAGCCAAAAAAGGATGAGTCTTAAGCCCGTCTCGACGCGGCACACACTTTTGTTTGTTGCCTCGCCGTAGCACCGACGGATTGCCCGGTGCATCCGGCAAGCCTTTGACAAAACAGACGGCCAACTTGGGCCGCAAACGGAACATGAAAACCAACCAACGGGCCCCGAAGGGGCCCTTTTTCTCCCCATTGGACGCTCTCGGCGTCCATGGCTCCTCCCATTTCCATCTCTCACGTAAAGGCTGTGATCACCTCGCTGGAGGTACCTTCCACAAGTCTCCGACTCATCCGTCTGGTTCAGAGGGACGCCATCACAAGCTATGGCATTCATTGGGGGCCCCCCATTTTTGAGAACATCCTGTGGCCAGTCAGTCGCACCTCTCACCAGAATGACGCGCTTCATGTTGCTCGTCATTGCCTCGTTTGTGCTCGGCTCGCGGCCCGCACCTTCGATCCTTCGATGCCCGGCCTCGACCAGCTGGCAGTAGCCCAGCGCGCTGTCAGACGGCGGCCTCTGGACAGAAGAAGCTCCCTCCACTCACATTGCCATGAGCCCCGGGCATGTCTGGCAGATTTGTGCACACCAGATCCGCATCTTGCGACTCCTGGCCACTTGGCCACTCCCATCGAGCCAACAAACTGGTAGCCGTCTCCTCCAGCATCAGCTTGTTCAAGACAGACACCACCTGGGCTCAGCCGGGCATCTGCAGAAGCCCAGCCCACCAATCCCCCACGTCCCCTTCCCACGTCTCAGGTGGAGACGGACAGCTCCTCCTCCCGACAGGGAGCCGTCGCGGTGAGCTGCCGAGCCTGCGTCGGGTTCGGAGGCTTTTTCAGCGGCAAATTTCCCGAGCCGCGGGCGTCGTGCAGGAAGAGCGTGCGCTTCCCTGGCGCAAAACGATTCGGAGCGAAGCCAGGAACAACTCGTTCCATGGCCAAGGTATCCTGTCGAGATGTCGGGGCTCTCATCCATACCGGTTCGGAACCTTCGCCGCTGAGGTGCCATAAGCCTGTTCTGGACTCACCGCTGACCAGAATTGGGTCCAGTTGGGGTGGCCAGTTCGTGCAGGCTCAATGTTTACGTTCATGCCACATTTTGTCTTTGAAACCGCGAGAGTACGGGCGTGGGGCAGAGAGGTTGCGCATTTCGAATTCGACACTGCGAGCGCGCGAAGGGAATGCTTCAAACTTTTGACTTGGAGACCGGGAGAGTGGGAGGGGGGATGTTGTCTGGAGAGCAAGTGTGGAGGGGGGTTGTGGCAGAGGGCGAAATGCTTGCGCATTTCAGTTTCGAGACAGCGAGAGCACGGGGGCAACCTGAGGCCGCATATGTACGCGATGTCTGATACACCAAAGCAGCAGGAAACGCAGGAAGCTCCGCGAAGACCACCTCGTGACCACTGCGAGACCTGCGGAAGAGAAAAAGCTCCAAGGGGCTTGCGCAAGCCTGTTGCCTCGCAAAGATGGGAAGCAGACAGTTGCACCAGGACGCAGAGATTTTGCTGTGGCTAGATATTTCAGCTCATGGCGAGAAGACGAGAGCAAACCAAATCCCCGCTTTTAACGCATTATCCCAAAGTGAGTCATAATCAAGACCCGACCATGTAAAGAATTAAGAGCGGCCGCAGCTATTTATGGTTGGGATTGTCCCTCACCAACCTTCATCTACCCGCGTTTTGGTTGTGGCTCAAGTGTGGTCATTGCCGTGCCAAGCGGCCTTCACCGCCGCTGACTTGCCGCTGGAAGCCTCCTTCGCTCCCACCGCTGTGGACCCGCGTCGGCTCATCACCGAAGCGCCTTGGGTGAGAGGGAGCTGTACAGAGCTGACGAGACCCGGCTTTGGGAAGGCTGGATGTGTTCTCTTGGTGCGTTGTTCTTTTTTCCATTGAGGCAAGGGCATCTTGGTGGATGTTTAAAAACAAATCAAAAATTGCCTTGGGCATGCTTCCAGGTTTGGCACAACTACTGGCGAACTGATCGCCAAATCAACCGGCTTTGCAAAATCAAACTCAGCATCGCCCTCAAGTATGGCCTTGATGGCCCCGCGTTCGTGACTGTTGACCCTTGCCCACTTGAAGGCCATTGAAGGCCCCTAGTCACTTTGTGGCACTGGCTCCTCTTGCTGTGGGTATTCACCAAGGTGCACTTCGATGGAGGAACGATTCTGCTGAGTCAGTGTGGGCATGTCTCTAAGCTGCCTTCGCGCAACTTTGGCCTCGCGAAACTCAAGCTGCAAGTCGCAAGTCACGCCAAAGTTCTGCTCGCAGTGCCTTGCAAGCTCGCGCTACAACCTCGGCTTCTATAAAGAGGCCGCGCGCAAGCTGATCAAAGCAAAGCTGTGCCCGAGCGATTTGTACACAAGTGCACTTGAGGCACGAGGTCATAATTCAAAAGACGGCTTGGAGAAGCACCAACAATCAGGAAGGGACTTGTTGAACAGTGAGCCGGCATTCGCCTCGACCCCGAACACCTTTTTCTTTCTTCCCTTCGGCTCTCACATCAATGCACACCTCTTCAGGCATCTCAACAGTGACTGTCGCCTGCCCTACGGTGACCTGGATGTCCTTGCTCTTGGTCACGTGGGGTGAGTGGCAGCAAGGGTCACGACGGCCGCGGCAATGGAGCGAGGAATGGCTTGCCGTGGTCTTTTCCAGGAAATACCCGGGATCTGCAGTCACGCAAACCTGAGCATGGCAAACATGAGTCTTCCAGCCGGTGATGGTCCAGTCGCTAGCACCACTTGTGCAACCACCTGTACTGCTCTTTGTGGCCGGAGCACCGTGCAAGCTTTTAGCTTGTGTCCTTGGCTCCCAAGACGTGACCTGGAAACACAAACAGCGCACAAAACCCAACGATCGTGTTCCCTCTTTGTGGAACATACTTGTTTGGAGTGGCCCATTTCCTCTTTCCAGTCTCCCTCAACGAAAGTCCCTCACGCCAATTCATGGCCAGCGTCTCGTTCGCCTTCTGAGTTTCTGCGCCTCTGAGACTCTCGGGCTGGCCCGTGGCAAGTGCCACGAGGAGAAACAAGCTCAAACCGTGAGACACCATCACTCGGTTTGTCGCGATGCTTAGGATACGACAGAGCAAGCCCAAATGCTGCGGCACTTGAAACACTGGCGCCATCGCCAAAACGACGAGCGGGAGAATTGAATCCCTGCCCCGGTTGGTGAATCATCGTGTTCGTCTCTAACCAACCAAAGGGTCCCACTCGATTGAACCGCGCTTCAAAGCCAGAGTGTCCACCGGCTCGGAAAGCCGCTCGTCTCATCAAACTGATAAACGACCTTGCATGACACATGGCAGTTCAAGAGGGTTAGCTATGGATGCTTGAAGCTTCAAAGGATAGAGGACGTGTTGTGCCTTCGCGGACTCGTGCCTGGCCCAACTTTCTCGAGCAAGGCTCCCGCACTTGTTGGGGGTTCCTGTATACAGGGCAAGCCCATCCAAAGCCAACAGTTTGCCTCCCGCTTCCCGAGACCTCGATCTCTCCCCCTCGCGGTGCTTCGGAGGTGCAAGTGGTCAACTGCGGTGTAGGCCTCGCATCCAAGTTTGGAGCCCCATCCAATCGCAAAGTGGATGCGCCTTTGGCACAGGCGGTGCCTTGCTCTCAGCTGTTCCCCAACCTTTTTGCCATACAAAAAATGGAGGGGAGAACCGGGACCTGTGGACTGAAATGGCCATGGCCTTTTCAAAATCCAAATCTCGTACCCCCAGTGAACATCCGAGTCAATCCAACCACTAAATAGGTTCTAAAATGAAATGGCCATGGGCTTTTCAAAATCCAAATCTCGTACCCCCAGTGAACATCCGAGTCAATCCAACCACTAAAGGTTCTAAAATGAAATGGCCATGGGCTTTTCAAAATCCAAATCTCGTACCCCCAGTGAACATCCGAGTCAATCCAACCACTAAATAGGTTCTAAAATGAAATGGCCATGGGCTTTTCAAAATCCAAATCTCGTACCCCCAGTGAACATCCGAGTCAATCCAACCACTAAAGGTTCTAAAATGAAATGGCCATGGGCTTTTCAAAATCCAAATCTCGTACCCCCAGTGAACATCCGAGTCAATCCAACCACTAAAGGTTCTAAAATGAAATGGCCATGGGCTTTTCAAAATCCAACTCTCGTACCCCCAGGCTTTTCAAAATCCAAATCTCCGTACCCCCACCCCAATCCAACCACTAAAGGTTCTAAAATGAAATGGCCATGGGCTTTTCAAAATCCAAATCTCGTACCCCCAGTGAACATCCGAGTCAATCCAACCACTAAAGGTTCTAAAATGAAATGGCCATGGGCTTTTCAAAATCCAAATCTCGTACCCCGAGTGAACATCCGAGTCAATCCAACCACCCCCAGTGAACATCCGAGTCAATCCAACCACTAAAGGTTCTAAAATGAAATGGCCATGGGCTTTTCAAAATCCAAATCTCGTACCCCCAGTGAACATCCGAGTCAATCCAACCACTAAAGGTTCTAAAATGAAATGGCCATGGGCTTTTCAAAATCCAAATCTCGTACCCCCAGTAAACATCCGAGTCAATCCAACCACTAAAGATTGGCTTTTCAAAATCCAAATCTCGTACCCCCAGTGAACATCCGAGTCAATCCAACCACTAAAGGTTCTAAAATGAAATGGCCATGGGCTTTTCAAAATCCAAATCTCGTATGAACATCCGAGTCAATCCAACCACTAAAGGTTCTAAAATGAAATGGCCATGGGCATTTTCAAAATCCAAAAAATCCAAATCTCGTACCCCCAGTGAACATCCGAGTCAATCCAACCACTAAAGGTTCTAAAATGAAATGGCCATGGGCTTTTCAAAATCCAAATCTCGTGCCCCCAGTGAACATCCGAGTCAATCCAACCACTAAAGGTTCTAAAATGAAATGGCCATGGGCTTTTCAAAATCCAAATCTCGTACCCCCAGTGAACATCCGAGTCAATCCAACCACTAAAGGTTCTAAAATGGGCGGTGAAAACAAACCCAACCAACTCAAAGGAGAGGGAAACACAGTTTTCTCAACAACGGGGGAACCCGGGACCTTAAAAGGAACGAACCCCGCCGTGACTGCGACCTCTCCCCTAACCTTGTGGGTAGCGCGTGCAACGCGCTCTTTTCAGCACTTGAGCCAAAGCGACATGTGATCATGTCATGCTTGGGCATTGAATTGTTTGTACAACAACAACATGTTGCAAGTCATCTGACTCATGTAGCCTCTGGGCCATAAATGTCATCGTGATAATTGACTCCCCCCTCATTGACGGCACTGAGGGAGTGTCTTGGGCGCATTACCACGCCAACTTGAAGTCAAGTTTACATCACAACGACCGACGCAAGTTATTCAAGCGTCGCCCAGTCACTTGCACACTTTTGGAAATTTTGCGGACATGCTGCAGCGCACTAGGCAGCTGCTTTAGCGGATCTGCTTCTACGAACGTCTTCAAGCTTCTCTGGAAGGTCAACACGAATGCCGAGCAACCGGATAGCATGATCCCACTTGTTGGGTGGAAGTGCTTTCGTGAAGATGTCTGCTGACTGCGTGTCTGTTTGGACGTATTCTATTGAGATGTGTTCGCTTTCAAGCTGCTCTGCGATGCAAGCGAGGTTCACCTTGTGCGTGCGTTGTACACAGCGTAGCTTGGATGAGAAACGCTTCTTTGCTACGAGGATGGTCGCCTGATTGTCCTCGTGGATCTTGAGATGGAATGGTCTGTCCAAGATCAGCTCCCATAAGCTGAGCGCAGGAAGTGCCTCCTGGTACAGGGAGTACGCAAGAGACACGATTTCCGCCTCGGTTGTCGACCGGGAGACCGAGGTCTGCCTTTTAGACACCCACGCGAGGGGGAAATGCGTATGTGGACCACTCAAAACCAAGAAGCCTCCGGACGTTGACTTTGCGTCTCGTTCTCCAGCGAAATCAGCGTCCACATAGAGAGACAGATGCAACTCATCAGTCGAATCCTGAACTGTGCCAACTAACGTGCTGTTAACCGTGCTGTTTATGTAGCAGACAAGCCTATGTAGCTGCTTATCGCAGTTCCTAGACCATTTCTGAACAAAGGAAGCAAGGTCGCCAATGGGCTTGACCAGGTCCGGGCGTGCCAAACGACCCAACCATAAGGCTTTCATCAACACGCGGCAAGCGGCGAAGCCGAGCTCACCCTCCAAGGCGTCATCTGCAGGGTCTAGAGATCCAGCGGGACAGAATGGAGTGGTGGCATCACGCAACTTTTCAGTTTTTAGCTGTGCAACCTCAAGATATAATGCAACCGTTTGACGAGCATAATCTCGCATGTCGAACGCCATGCCCCCTTTCAATCTGCCCATTGCGGCATTAAGATCGGGTTCAGTTGGGTCCTTTGGAGCATCTATCAAAAGGTGATTCCTGCCTAGCACCCGATATATGTCTTCTGGGGGTTCTATATCAACCAGTCTTGTTAACTTTTCCCAGAAGTCTTTATGAAGGTGGCTGGGGCCGGCCAACGTCAAGTCGTCGACGTATGTCGAGAGAAGTAACCCGGACTCCTTGAACCAGAAGTTTCCAGGAAACTCTGCGACCTCACGCCCTCCAAGTTCACTAATGAAACCTTTGAGGTGTGCCTCCCAGAGTCCGCCAGCGTCAGGATGCCCATAAAGAGCTTTAACGAGCAAAACCACAGGTTTCACGAAACGCTCGCGCCACCACCTTGGCCGGAGCTCAGGCGGGAGTGTGATCCAAGTTCGGTACTTGGATTTCAGCAGTGCTTGCACATATTTATAGCGTCCGCTGTTGTGGTGGAGTTCCCTGGCAGGGATCCATAAGCGAGACAGTTATTAAGACCTTGTACGCTCGTGGGATTTGCTCCCAGTTCTTGGTAGACAGCTGCTGCGCCATGTTCGTCTTTCGCACAGTCTCCGCGATACACAATCCTACCTTTCATCTTCTGAGGGTGTTTCGCGAGTTCGGCGAACTTGACGGATGCTAACGACATCAACTGCCCGAAATGAACTTTTATACTGGATCGTCGCGCCTCAGCAGCGACTTGATCATACTCTCGGACTGAATTTAGATCCCAAACACCGGCTTTCTCCAGGCCTGTGGCTTCAAGTCGAACGGCTCCAAGGGCTTCCGGGGAAGCCAACATTTCGGCACGTGACAAGAGTCTGGTCACCATCAAGAACTTGTTCAAGGATGTTGTGACACTTTTCATCGGACTCGACAGCAATACCTATATCTTCCAAACCAGAGAGAGGGGATATGTGTTTTAGCTGCTGTTCACGTTCCCGGTGGTCGAGAGGCAATGGCACTTGGACAGGCATCGCAGGCACAACGGGTTGTACTGTCGGATACAGCGCACGGGCAACTGTGAGACACATGCCTTCGGGGTAGAAAGCGGTCTTTGCGGTCTTGTTACCTGCTGCAAGCGAGTGTTTATACCCTTTTTCGCGCGGACACTTGAATGCACTTAGCGCGGATGCGAGGGTGCTATTGCTGGTCATGACTTTCCATGGCTTTTTGATGGGGTAACCATTGCTGTCCTTCAGACCTAGGGCGCAACCGTGGAAGGTCGCTGGGGTGAAGACCTGTGCGTATTCCCTAAAGAATGCAGAGACATCATCCCTAGCCCAGCTGTCGCAATCCCTTGGCCATTCAAACGAAACACTACCCCCCTGATGGATGACAGTCTCAGCGTGACGTCTGAATCTGGAGAACAACTCTCTCGACTCTCTAACTTGTTGTTTCAGTTTCTTTTTGAACTGGCTTCCTAACTTGGCCTTATTAAGGCGTTGCCATGCTGAACCTGATGTGCAGGGGATTGCAGCCCAGAGATTGGGTTTATCACAACCTTCCATCTGTGACTGCAATTGGATTTCTCCTTCATCTGTGCTAAGGTCGATAAACTCTTTAGCCAGCCTAACATGAGGTATGCCAAGACCTTCAAACACGCGACCCATATTGGACTCTGGTGAACATGCGTATTCAAACATCACAGGCAACTTATCGATGCGTGCCTGTCGCTTGCGGGCACGATGATTTCCTACCTCAAACTGCTTGGGCTGCGGAGCTTCAACCTCTGCGCTGCACGGCGTGCCAAAAATTGGCAATGTATCTGGACGACCGTTCTTTGACGCTTCGGTGAGAGGTGTCGGCGGTACGGAGTCTAACATCACGGCTGCACCTGTGGTGATAACGCAATCGGACTGAATGGGTTTTAACTTGAACACTGTGAACCCAGTCCATGGATCTCCAAGTGAGCGATTAGGTCGGCTACCAAACCAACCATCGTGAATGTTGTCTGCTTTGCCCCCCTGAAACACGGCACGAGTGGTGCGAGCTGCAGTAAATCTTTCTGGGGAAACGGGGCAATCCTCGACCTCCTTTGGGGTAAAAAGATTCTGCCTTGGCATGATATGGTACCGAACTAAACAGTTGGCATTTTCTTTGAACACCCAAAAATCTTCACCTTGCGATGTAGCGGCTGTCGCTGGCGCGGAATCGAAAAATGAGGCACCGGGTCTTGAGGGAGCGGGCTCCCCGGCTTCGGCTGCATC